GGTTTTATGGCCTGCAGCGTGCAGGGGGTCAGACCAGATGATCATAATGGTCCCTTCTGACCTTAAAGTCTATGAGTCTATGAGTCTATGAGAATCTCTTTGCTTCTGAATGCACAGCTCTGTTCTCTAGTTAGTTCACAAGTATTTCATATCAATGGGATGCAAATGTGATGGTTTAGAAATAAGAGAGTAACTTGCACATAGATGAGGACTAAATAAAAAGCCCCAAAGCAGTAATATTTAAGAACCCATATAAAACTTTTATCCTTTCCCTTTTGCTATCACTTTTAGTCACAATGTTCCCATAATGGTGGTAGAATTCACTGTCGCCTTTGCTCCAGATAAGAGACTCTCTTTTTCCATACATGAAACACACACAACATTTGCATCTTAGTTTACTGTATTTTAGACAGTTGACCCATCTGGAACCCAATTACACAATCACATGCAGGCAAAACTCCACTGCCTTCAATGAAGTTTACACTTCATAAAAACTGCAGGATCTGGATTTGAATAGATTAAAATTGGATCTTCTCCATCTGGAATTACCAGTGTCTATGAAAGCCTCTTAGCTTCCTAGGACTCAGTTATGCTTTATAGGCCAAACAGAAAAAGGTATTGTGGTGCTATTCCAGGGGGCATTCTGACTGGGAAGCAGAACGCCTCCTGGAGTTGCAGGGTGCTTGGTGGACTCCTTATCCCACAATCCATGCAGCTGGCAAGTTGAGCGTCAGAGCCTTGGCCCAGCTTCTTGCCCTTCACCTTTGGGATTCTCTATGTCCCCAGTGGAGTAGGGAGAGGCCAGTGCTTACACTCCCCACAGAACAGAAGATGGAATGCTGCCTGGCCCTTATACATGGCATGCAAGACAAGGACCATTTCCTAAACACCTGCTCACTGCCCCCTCAACCTCTGCTTCTTTGCACACTCACATAAGAACCAGGCACAACCAGGGCCCCATACATTAACTATATCTACTGTTTTCAAGGAACTGAAATGGTAGCTTTTTTCATGTGTCCTTTCAAGCAGGCCAACTGTTTCATTGACAGATCACTTTGCAAGTCAGGATTGGAATGTGCATAACAAAATGTACACCCAAATCCCAGTGCACAAGGCTCAGCCCTGCTCCTAGTTTTGCCATTAGCTTATATGAAAGGAGGCTCGGGCCTATCCCACAAAAACTTGGTTTGTACAATTTGGTTTTGTTTCAAAAGGTCCATGAGGGGTAGGAATCTGGACAGAAATCCAGCTACAATTATTCACAATGGTTATGTAAAACACACTCAGGATGTCTATCTGTGGCAGCAACATTTTCAAATGTTTGTGTTTTTTGTTTCTTATTTGTTGTTCTTCCCCTATGTTCTGATGTTAATGTGAACAAAGCCAAACCAAACCAAGCATTAGTTTAACTAATGTAACCTAGATACAGAGGGCCAGATTTTCAGGCCAGCTAAGTTATGCTTGATGCAGAATGAGGGTGGAGGGCAAAGTTAGGTGTTATGGGCCCGATTCATGGTTGCTTTAAGGCGTCTCCAGAGAATAGCCCCAGAGCAGGAGGCCCTAACTCCACATGTAGAGCCAGCTGTGTGCCTCTGTCCCTAATGCTCTCATGATAAGAGCTGCTAATGCAGGAGCCATTCTGGGGCAGGCTGGTGGCATGTTTGAGCTGGTCCTACTTCCTCGCTATTTCCCAGTAGCTACCAGGCCCCAAAGGGTTTTCAGTAGCTGGAAGCAAGCTAGGACAGATCTGACCCAGTATCGGGACAAAACAACTGGCCCTCATCAGATCCAGAATCAGTGAGCACAACACTCTCCTCCCGTGCATACATGTACATACACACACACTTCAGTCCCGGTCTTGTGAATTTGGCCCAATGCCTCCAAGGGCAGGGACAGCACAGACCTGAGCAGTGCTTGCTACCCTCTTTTACAGGGTACCATAGGCATTTGTGCTGCACCAGCCCAGTTCAATTGGCGAGGCCATAGCCCTGCATTCATCCTTCCTCCCTGCTTCCTCAGGAGTGTTTGCTCCTGCAACCTGTGCTAGACACCCCTGGTCCTTGCAGATCAGGAACACAGACTGGGATTGTGCCTGTGATCCCCTGTACAGAGACACAAAGGCTCTTTTCGTATCCTGCCCTCCACCCCCATGTCTCGGTGCAGGCCTAGGTACAATGTAGCTGTTAATCTGAAAGTAAAATAAAAATGCAACACAAGCTATGCTTTCAGGGCAAATACTGCCCTGCTTAGGACCATCAGCCAGGTGTCTCTAACCAATGGCAGTTCATTTTCAGTTCTTCACTGATTAGGCTAGAAGGTAATAGAGACAAAGCAGGAATAAGAGAAGGGCGTTGGCTGCAGAGCTAGAGTGATATGAAGCATCTACAGAACACAGGATAGGCCAGGGTAATCTATTTTCACAGGTGTCATGAATGGATCCTGAATCTTCCTCAGTGAACAGGCCTTTCCACCACAAGAATGACACTGACAACATCAACACCCCTCTTCAGCCCAATAAATCCCTACTAATGAACAAACAAAAATAACACCCCCAGAACCCTGAAACAAATCAACCAAAAAGTAAATACAATTTAAGACCCCCCAAATGTCTGGCCCAATCAGAGTTCTTCCCCGCAGACAGGAGAAGTCACATCATGCATATTTTAAAAAAGTACCAGAGTGCTGAACAAATCACAAATGAGTCTTTCTTACACACAGCTTCGGATTTGCTTGGGGCTGTGGACTGGCTGGTTTGTTGCTAAGGATGTGAACTAGTATGTCTTTGGGAGCCTCTCCAGCACAGTGGTTTAAAGCCACAACTTTGCCCCATGAATCAACCCATGAGGTAAGGCTCATGTATTCTGTTCAATCCACTAATTACTTCATTTAAAATATGAGGCCACTGAAAAATATCCATATTCTAGAATTACAGAAGCTAGACAAATAGCAAATTGACTATGTCTCTTCTTTGTTACTGCTGTGCTCCATGGAGCTGGTCTCAATCACGTTGAGCCATAAAGCGCTCACACACTCTACTAATCGGATTGCCTGCTGGGTGATACCAACAGAACAGTACTATCCTCATCTAAAACAATGGAACTATAGACTCATGAGCCTTTACACGAGATGAACACATTATCTACAGCCATATGGAGAAACAGGCACTTCCAATAGCTCTCTGTGTGCTCTGTGGGCAAACTACCATTGGGACAGCTCTAGGTTATGCTAGGAGACCAGGGTAGTACATAGCAGTCCAAAGGGCTTGCAAAAGTAACCCCCTGCCTGCCCTGCATGCCTCTAGGTAGTCTTGGCTGGAGCCAGTGATCTGGCCCAGCACCTGTGATGCCCAGCTTGAACCCTCCATAGGCAGCAACTCTATTAAATGAGCCAAAGAAGAGCTTTCTAGTGGCTCCTACAGAAAAGGCTGTAGTAAGTTTGTATCACCGAGAGAAGCTGCTCTTCTATACATCACAGCTATGAGCCAGAGTTTTCAAAAGAGCCCAGCTCCCATTTAGACACCAAAATAAATGACTAGATCTTCAAGGCCACTCAGTATGTTGAGTGCACGTGGGGTGCTGAGCTCTTTTGAAAACCTAGCCTTTATTTAGGCATGTAAATGGGAGCTGAGCTGTCTTGATAATCTGGCCTCACTTGTGGGTGTTAAACTTTTGAGAATCTGGCCCTGAGCGCTTTTGAAAAGGTGGCCCTTATTGCTCATTTATTCCTTTGTCAGCAGATGATACTTCCAACCCAACCAAATGTACAAATCTTTAATCATCAGTAAAAGGAAGGTAGGGGGAATCGACAGGTGCTACTCAATAGAATACAAGCCAGCTAAATTCAATGTGCCCCTCTTGGAGAGTCCTCCAAGCTCTCCTCAATTTCATTTTTAACCTCCGTCCTCACACAGATCTGTGGTGGTGTGTGTGGTGCACAGCTGACTGCAGAGAGGTACTGTTGGGGCAGTGAATTAGAAAACTGACTGGATCACTGCAGGAGTGACAGGACCAGGGGGATTCCTACCCCTCCTTTCCACTCCCTTACCTCAGTAAATGTGACTGCCACGCTTCACCCTGCTCTTGTCCCAGACTACTTGCTGCCTTACTTACACTCCTCCTAATCAGAGCCCTCTCTTCTAGGGTCTACTAGGTCTCAGGAATTCCTATGCCTTGGGGAGAGTATCTGCCACCGCTTTGTTGTCAGGCTCTTGGCTTTATGTAAGCTCTGCCTGTTCCCTCAGACGTGCGCATGCTTTCAATTAGAGGCTGCTTCCTAGCCCAAATCTCTCCCGTTTGCCACTTAATTGCCTGATTGAGCCCACTTGGCCTAATTCAGCTCTCTCAAGGGCCAGGGTGGGGAGTATACCCATCACACACACCTTTTCCTTTGGCTCTTCATCAGCTCTCCTCACCTCTCCATTTGTTCTTTTCCTCGCTCTTCTGTTTCTCTGCATAGGTTTCTTTCCTTGGTAGTCCTTTTCTTCTCTCCCTCCCCACTGCCCCTAACAGCCTGCTGGCTTGTTTCTCTCTTGTGGCTGTCTGTTTCTCTCCTTTCCTGAACATGCTGCCTGGTTCCCATCTCACAAGGCATTACTTTCTGGTGGAGGGCTTAGGTCCCACTGGTGTCTCCTGTCTCCTCTCCTAGTGACAGCATCAATGCTACTGGTGGCTCTAGACCCTGAGAGAATCTTGTTTCCTCTTCTCCTCCTTATGTAACTGGAATCCTTATAGTGGTGGCAGTTAGGCTGGTTCCTCCATATTTCCAGCTGCTTTACAGGCATCCAGGTTCTTCTTTGGAAACATGCAGCTGGAAACAAGGCAGAGAGGAGCCAGCCCCATGCGATGTACCAGTTATACCTGCTCTTGTATTTTCCACTCCATGCATCTGATGAAGTGGGTTCTTGCCCACAAAAGCTTATGCCCAAATAAATTTGTTAGTCTCTAAGGTGCCACAAGGACTCCTCATTGTTTTTTCTATGGACTACCTGTGATCCATGAACTAGTTATAGAATCTCTGTTGCAAAGTGACTGATACTTATTGCTCTTCTGCACCTTTTTTTTGTGGACGAGAAGAGGGAAGGAGAGTTTATGAACAGAGACTGATTTTCTGCACCTTGCACGATGACTGCCTTGCCGGTGTCACATTGTATAGCAAGTCTACAGCCACACTCTGGATCCAAACGTTTATAGTTTGAATTTGGAATTTGATTATGGTGATCATAATCTTGCCCCCTGATTTACATGCCCTGGAACTTCTCTGCAAGTTGCTGTCTGTGCTGACCACTTTCAAGTGAGTGACTCTGTACAGACTAGAAGCTGCCTGCTAATTTAGAGTTTCCGTTGTTTTATGTAGTGAAGCCTTGTTGGGTACCAGGGTGAGGAATTTATCCATGCTGGGCCTTAAACCAACTATCACAAGGCCCAAAGCACCAGCTCTGGCACTAAGCTGAAATAGATGTCAGTGTTAGTAACACTTCTCATCCCTTTGCAGGATTCTGTTTGGTTTCCCTTTAAAAGGATTCCCTTTACTACAGTAGAACTTAATGATCACAACTCTTCAAGAGTAATATTGCTACTAGTTTTTTTTAATCAGTTTAATATAATTCAAAAATGACTTACAGAAACACAGCCAACCATAATCTAATGGAAAGCAAAATACAAGTGGTCTTTATGTCTGATAATATACAAATGAAAGATGAGCACAAAATGGAATCCTATATATAAGCCCCCAGTGAAGTTTGGGGAAGTTTGGATTCTGAACTTCATGTCTCAGGCCCATCACTAAAAATAAATAAACAACTGAAATGCTTTTGTTCTACAAACACCTCTTCTACCTGTTTTAAACGGCAACAGCTGGTTATCTCAATATAGTTTGAAAATGACATCCGTAAATGCTGAAACTCAAATTAGATCACACTGTGTTTTTGTAGAGCTGCAGCAAGCTGTTTGTTTTCCTGGCAAATAAGCTCTTCAAAGCTCACAAGCTTATTGCCATTCTTCCGATAGTCATGCTCTTTATCTTAACTAAGAAAATGTGGTAAAGAACAGTCTTAAAAAATGTACAAAAAACAATCATGCCACTTAGCTGGAGGGCATTTTCAGTGTTTGCAAACTCTGGAGATTGCTGAGATGCTGAAACAATGCAGTGACCATTTCCTTCTTCTGGGAGTGAATGTTTTTTGCATGTACGTGAGGCAAACATGGAGACAGACTGGTGACTGTCACAGAACCCGAAAGAAGACTAGATAAGAGGCAGTCTCCAAAACAGCACTGTACAGAGCTTGGTCAGGCCATAAAATCAGGGCCCAGATAACTGCTAGGCTGTGCTCCCTAAAGAACTCCCCTGGCACCATGACTGCCTTCAACAAAGCAGTCATCTGGCCAGAGTCCCTAGTGAAGAATGGCAGAGAGTTGTGAAGACAACTGCGGACCTTTGAAACCTTTATTTATAGCACTTGTCATGTGACTTTCTGGCAGAGAAACTAGCAGATTTCTGAAGATCAGAAAGAGGTGATAATTGTCGCATTTGTCACCGTTAATTACATTTTTTAACCACCCATGAATACAGAGTATTTCCATTTCCCAAAAGATTGTTTTTAAAACCTCACCATTAGCCCGCTGTGACCGAACAATCCTACTTGTGGAGGGGATGGAAGAGGAATGTTAATAGTGCCAGTGGAGATGGACAGCTCTCAGAGTGTGCACCTGCTCATCTTATACACCTACGTAGCTAATAGATCCTAAGTGTACATAGAGTGTGCTACTGCTGATCCATTTGTAGAAATAAACAGATACGAATAGCTTATTTGAAAGACCCCAATTTATTTAGGTTGTTTTTTCTTGCTGCTCTGTTCAACAACTTTCATTTAACTAAATGTAGACTCATGGCTTTCCAAGGCTGAAAACCTGGGAAGAGGATTTTCCCAGGGATCTAACCAAATTCCATAATGACCTTGACCACAGGATGATTTTCCGTGTTATCACATCAGGTCTCCATGTTTTTTATAACTTCTTTGGAAGGGACTGAGAAAGGAAATCCTTATTGGATGCATCCAAGAAGTTGTAGCATGATACAGTGAATGCTGCCTGTCCAAAAAGTGTCTAAACACACTTTATTTTGCGATGATACTCAGAGTCTTTTGCAATATTACTCAAGCACTAAAAGACTTTGGTGTAGCACTGCTTTGGTTTGCTGGGCAGTAAGGCATATGCAAATAACAAGACTCTGGAATTTACTGTTGTGTCACTATAAGCATAAAACCAAATTTTAATAATTAATTAAGGAATAAATAACAGAATTAGACCCTTTTTGAATTTTGACTCTCGGAATTTTTTCCTTAGGGCTTTGACATTACAGCTCTCTCAGTGGCATTCCAATCTCTAGTACTTTCCTTTCATTATGTAATTATTTGAAGTCCTAAAGTTTTCTGAAGCAAAAGCACTGAAGAGTTCTGCATTGTTTTCTTCTTCGCAATGTGAGTACAGTATTGTGCAAAACTTTAGTAAGTTTATTTTTTTTAAAGGGGCTCTCTGTGCATATACTCAAAACTCTTAATCATTGTACATGGTCAGGTAAAAGGTACTCAGATACTAAAGCAGAGATTTTGTTATTTTTACTGAATAGAAAGAAGCTGGTGATTTTTTTAAAAAAGGAAATGCATGTGTAAGTAAATTAAGCCTATATAGAGGCATAAATATGAGGTTGTTGTATTTATTGGACTTAATAGAGTGTATATATAAAATATTATACAAATTGCAGAATGGGAAAAATAATACAAAAAAGTCATTATCATCAATCATAAGGAAACATGATTAAAAGAAGCTCAGGTGTAAGGTGACTAACAGACAAAGAAAGCACACAGAAAGGCAGAATGCAATTTTTATAATTCCTACAGCAATAGACAGTGCTTTACAAAACCATAAAAAAGAACTGAAGAGAAATTAATTGAAAGCTACAATATTTGAATGAGTGGAACCGTCATGTGTGACATAGTCTGCTGTTTTGGAGCACTAGCAACAGTGGCTAAGCTTCACAGGAAAAGCTGTCAGAGATTCTCAGAGAATACTTAAGAAAACTTTGAGCAATAATAACAGAACAGTGAGGTACAGTATGATAAAAAGCTTAACCACCAACAAAGAAATGGCAAAAAGAAGTACTTAGGCAAAGCTGTGTGTGAAGGAGGGAAGATGAAGGAGACAGAAAAAGTAAGTATACTGGAAGCTGGAGTGAGAAACACACTGCTAGCCATGATGTTTTATTGGGAAAAACCTGAACCTTTACTAAAATATTGTTGTGTGGTACTATTACATGTTGATTATTGAACTTCATTACATTTAATTCTTATCTCATCAGGTTTTTTTTGTATTTTAATGAGAGATTTACTTATTCTGCTTTATCATAATGCAGTCTGTACTAATCCAGATCCAATATGTTTACACCACTAGCAATAAGAAAGCTGTCTAAAGGAAACTATTTCATCCAATTCACACAGTCCCATATATGCTATTCAGTTGTATCCCATTTTAATCTTTCATATTTGATCCCAATCAGCATTGAGTACAGGTTAGATCCTTCTATATCCAAAGCAATAACAATAACCAATCCACAAGTAAACCAGCCTGTAATGAAATTCACAGCCCAGGGCTAAACACAGAGCTAACATGTGTTTAACAAATCAAAGCTTGTATTTATCATTTGTCACTGTTTGTGTCTTTGTTTTTTTCTCTCTCTCTCTCCAAGAGACAATTAAGAACCCACATTGTGAAAGAGAAACTTCAGAACAGTGACTTTTTTTTCAAAATTGCTTGGTACATAACATCTGCAAAATGCAATCTGGACATCACGCCGCTGGCATGTAAGACTAGTAGCAAAAGGGTTAATAATAACTAGTAAGGTGTGAACCAATTCAAAATACAAATCCCTAAATGTAGTCCCAAACCAAACCTTAATATGAAGTTGGGTGGAAATATCAGCTAACCTTATAAAAATAATTTATTAATATTACGTTTGTTGGCACTTCTGAGTCCCCATTAAGACTGGAAGTGGAAGCGCTGAAATATCTACCTAAGTATCTGCACTCCATCCAACCCCCTAGTGTCTGAGCACCTCACAGTGCTTCTGGCTCAGTTAGAAGCAGGAAGAACCAGAAACCTCATAAAACTAAGGATTCCCCCAAGATTAGCTGACAAAGGCCCAATCCTGAGGTCTCTATGCAGGTGCAGGGGCCCATCCATGTACAACACATTGCACACTTGGAGCTGAACACTGTAATCAAAAGCAACTTGGATAAGCTTCCATCCAAATCTATACAACTGGAACCAAATAACACAACTTTTTGAGTCATTCATCATTATTAATAATGACCCCCTTTTTGATGTACATGTATGTCTATTTTTGGTTCATTTACCTGAGAGATGCCTTGAAACAAACTGGGCATGTATCTTTCTTCTGGATCACATATTATTACAGCTTATACATAAAATCTATAAGCAACAAAACTGGAAATCCTATTTATGTCTGTCATGTCTAGAGCTGTGCATTTGGCACAGCAGTCAAAGACACTTATGATCCAATAGCATGCCGTTTTAAGAGAAAAGGGTGTTGTATCTTCTCCTACCTCTCCCCAGCCAGATGTTGGACCAAACACTAGAAGAACACAGAAAAATGTGGTGGTGGTGTGGGATAATCAGCTGAACATGAGCTCTCAGTGCAATGCTGTGGCCAAAAGGGCCATTGCAAGCCTTGGATACATAAACAGGGGAATATTGAACAGAAGTAGAGAGGCTATTTTACCTCTGTATCTGGCACTGGTGTGACTGCTGCTGGAATACTGTGGCTATTTCTGGGTCCTACGGTTCAAAAAGGATGTTGATAAATTGGAGAGGGTTCAAAGAAGGACCACAAGAACAAGCCAAAGAGTCTGTCTACAAGTTCAAGCAGGAAATATTTGGGGGAAGTTCTATGGCCTGTGTTATGCAGGAAGTCAGACCAGATGATCACAATGGTCCCTTCTGGCCTTAGAATATCTGAATCTATTAACTGCATCATGTATTCCTCTCAACAGATGGAAAACCACTGTAGAACCCCTGTATCGCATCAAGAATTCCTCCAGTGAGCAGTACCCCATCAAAAGCTTCTTCTCCATGTTGTGGCATACAGCAGGAGAACACAGTGGAGACACAGTGGAGCACACCTAGTTCTGCTGTCTGAAAATCCAGCTGGATCATGCCAAATAGGACCTTTCCCAGCCATGTCCATAACATCCAGGGTGACCCATGAGACTGCTGTTATTTTCTTCATGACAGAATCATAGTCCTAGCCCTGACATGCAAAATAAAAAAGCACATGGAATTTTTGAGCAGAATCAATGGGATTCTGCTCTCACACAAGTGAGTCCATTGACTTGAGTGGAGTTATTCCTGATTTACACACATGTAAAATGAATCAGTGTGTGTCTTAGAATTAATGAAATTCTTGTATATCACCTTTCACCCAAATGGATTGTAAAATGCTTCACAGTCTTGGTATATTGGGATCACTTCACCTACTGCTGAAACACTGCCATCTCTCAAGGTAGAATCTGGTGCCACACTACACAATAGTGTCTTTGAAATGTATCCAAATGAAACCAAAGAGGAAGTTGAGTTAGGCAGAATGAATTCAAACCTGGCCAGAACTCTAAGATTAATCCTGTAACTCTTACAAAATGCACCATGGCATCTTTGATTAAAAGTGGTCCACTCCAGACCTCAATATTACAGCCTGTCCAGGAACACAGTGCCTGCTAGCACCATGTTGGGACCTTGACTCTTTGTAGATTCAAAGGGAAGGAAAGTGAATCACTAATGCAGGATGGAGTATTCTGGTGGTTGTGTTTTTTTAAAGCCACGCACAAAAAGAACTTAAATATGAGAATAGAGTTAAACTTCTTCTCTGATATAAATACATTATAGAAGTATGAATACTATACCTGACTTAAACATCCTGTAACATACAAGAAAAATATATAAATTCAAGACATCATTCTAGGGTTCAGAATGGCACTTTGAGAATGGTAGATGAAAGACTATTCTTAATATTAAGGTCTAAAAGATATTGTAACTTGATTGTTAATGTTATTTTGTAGGGATTGTAAATTTCAAAGAGTGAACTCCTGGTTCAGTGTTTATAAATAAACAAACATCAACACAGAATTTGTAATGTATAGCACCTTTCATTCAAGTACTTTATGCAAACTATTATAATTGGCAAAAACAACGAGGAGTCCTTGTGGCACCTTAGAGACTAACAAATTTATTTGGGCACAAGCTTTTGTGGGCTATAACCCACTTCATCAGATGCATGGAGTGAAAAATACAGTAGGTAGGTATAAATATACAGCACACGAAAAGATGGGAGTTGCCTTACCAAGTGGGGAGGTCAGTGCTAACGAGGCCAATTCAATCAGGGTGGAAGTGGCACAGTCCCAACAGTTGACAAGAAGGTGTGAGTATCAACAGAGGGAAAATTACTTTTTCTAGTGACCCAGCCACTCCCAGTCTTTATTCAGGGCTAAGTTGATGGTGTCAAGTTTGCAAATTAATTCTAGTTCTGAAGTTTCTCATTGAAGTCTGTTTCTGAAGCTTTTTTTGGTTGAAGAATGGCCACTTTTAAGTCTGTTATTGAGTGTCCAGGGAGATTGAACTGCTCTCCTACTGGTTTTTGAATGTTACAATTCTTGATGTCTGATTTGTGTCCATTTATTCTTATGCGCAGAGACTGTCCGGGTTTTGCCAATGTACACGGTAGAGGGGCATTGCATGTACTAACTTAATTTTAATTAAGTGCTTAAGACTCATGGGATTTATGACCATGAAACCTGTATAGTTCCAAACAACCACTTTTGTGCTTTCTCCCATGCTGCTCCTCATGCTTGGAAGGAGTTCCCTGTAAACATCTGCAAAACTAACTCATTATCCCCCTTTGCATCCTTTCTTAAAACTCTCCTCTGCCATGATGCCTACAAAAACATGACAACAGTTAGACTGCTGGTGTGCTGAGACCAGTGCCTATCATGCTGGCCAATGTTGTCTCATTGTTTCCTTGTACTCCCCGTCTGTCTATATCCATCTGCAGTCTCTTGTGTAAGACTTAGATTGTGAGCTCTTTTGTTCTGAGTTTGTACAGCACCTAGCACTGTATGGGATCCTGGTCCATGACTGGAGCTTCTAGGCGCTATGACAATACTAACTGATACCCTGCTGATGCCCTACAATGATTGTGTTACTGCTTCAAAAGTTCATGCACCAAAATGTCCATATTAGGGCTTGTATATATTGTTATACTGTGTCAATGAACATGATGTTAAAACACAAGTTAGCACTTAGTGTAGACCAGGGGTCGCCAACCTACGGCACGCGAGCCGATTTTGAGCAGCACGCTGCCTGCCTGGTGAGAGGAGGAGGAGGAGGGGCCGGAAAGCGCCACGCTGAGGGAAGAAGCGGGGGAGGGGGGAAGCTTGGCTGCCGCAGGAGCAAGCTTCTGCCTCCGCAGGGGAGAGTGGTTGGGG